TGGAGTTTTCACGGTACTAATTATTCCATTTCAATGAAACTTAGTACAAAGATGCTCTAGGACAATGTACAAACCTAATTAGTTTGGGGTAAAAATCTGTTCATATTAATTCCCTAATAAGCATAATAATTCATAATTTTTTGGTTCTAATCACATTTCAATTAAACTTGGAGACATAGATTTTCTGTTACATTGCGCAGACCTCATTAGTTTTACACTCAAATCTGGTCATATTAATTTTCTGATTTGCATAATTAGTTTTCAGCTAAGTAATTTCGAATTATATTTAATGTGTCTCCAATACTCTCAGCACATGGGAGTTCTTTCTAAGCTTTCTTTGATTACCTATTTTTTTTTTCCTCTGCTGTTGACAAAGTGGAGCTATTCATATTACTTCGAGAAATATTACTCTTACATTGCTCGTATTTTCTCAAGCGAAACAAATAAAAATATTAAGGAATAATATGTATTTGCACAGGTATTAAAGTCAGGCGTTAAGGGTCAAAACCATTTTATTCCATATCACCCCCTCACCATGCATACCCATATTTTTGAAATGCGTACCAAAATCAAATATACAAAGGAATCAATTATTAGTATTATTCATTCCTCCTTCACCAATACAAATGAGTGTAACAAATCAATCAGTCAGAGTTTGTGAGGATCAGGAATTAACTGGTCTTACTTTTTATAGCCACAATCCATCAAGTGTTGTCACACTTGGGAAACATTCAAATATTACAGTGACTGAACGAGAGAGACTTAACATCTTTATTAAAATCCATTGATAAAAGTGTCTTCTCACCCAAATTTGTTTGCACTTTTTTCTTTTATTCTTCAATATTTCTGGAAATGAACCCTAATTTTGGAGCCAACAGACAAAATTTGATTCAATCTTCAGTTTTTACTAAAAAAATTGGGCTATTTTAGTCCCAATCTTCTGAAGGAAAGTGCAGACTATAAACTGGATTATTTTATGAATTTGTGATTAAAAGAGGGAACTGGGACATTGTGAACAAAAGTCAAATTTTAAAAAAATGTTTAGTAAGCCGCCTACTGTAAAATCTGTATTAGAAACCGCGGCTTCTATTAAAATGGTACAATCCAATAGAGGGGGTGCGGCTTCTATTAGAGCATCTACACATATGAGAAATGATGATTTTTTGGCTCCCAATTGTTTAAAAAGAATGGGTGCGACTTCTATTAGGGATGCGGCTTCTAATACAGATTTTACGGTACCATTCAGTTTTACAAGCAAATCGTTTTTTGGAAGCTCTTTTAGCAAACATACTGGTCTTCAACGTACATACATTGACGGGAAAGCCTAATCTCTGGGTTATTTGTACTTGCGTGGCACTAAATGTATTACATAATTCTCTTAGTATATTATCACTATTATTAACTTGAAGTTCGGTGATGATGCTAACCGGAGAGTCAAGTCGAGTCATAGTGACCAAAAAAGATTAATAGTCCCTTACAATGGTTTTAGGGGAGCATGTTGCTGTATCATGTTTCAGGTAGCAAACGGTGAAACGTTGGATTTCAAATGATTCTGGATCTGTCAAGTAAGTTGACTTGTTCTCTGTGTTCTGTTTATAGATGGCACGGCATGATGTGGTGAAGAGAATGTGGGAAATAATTAGAGAAAGAAAACTCATGGTAAGTGACAAAATTTGAATGCCAATGTACAATACTTTTTTGTCACCTTTCAAACAAATAAATTTGCATAATGTTTCTATAATTTTTCCTTATAATCAAGATCTGTATCTAATAAGAAATTAAGTACATTTAGTTCAAAATTAACAAAAAAATTATAAAAAAATACTTATAAATTTGCAAAATGTCCGCCTAGAATGTTGGTGGGGAAAAATATGGTGCTGAACAACTTAAATACTGTACCATTTTTTTTCTCAGTTTTTTCTGAACATCCAGGCGTTAATTTATGTCAGGCGTGAAAACTCTCAAAAAAATGACTCCTGAATAGTGTAACTAATATTTTTTTTAAAGTGGGTACAAATGTTAAAATAAAAGAATTATGTTCGTTGAAATTTTTGGTCATCATAAGTGTGCAAGCATCATGTATAGCTGGCTGGATCAAGTTTAATATTTCATCTACTTACTCTTTCACTTTTTAATCAGGATCCCAAGAATAAACAATTTATGCTTTGTGATGAACAACTCCTGAAAGTTTTTGGTGAGTATCTCTTCCAGATGAACACCATGAAGTTATTATTCATTATAAATCATCACTATCAAAATAAAATTTTTAGATGATGTCATGGCTTTTCATTATCACACAATAATGTAAACCTCTATGTGCGATTAAATTAATTTCAACAAAAAGTCCCCAAATTTAACTAAATTTGTTCAATTCTGATGGTGATTATTTATAACAACAATGAACATTTGGAATCATTAAGACAGCAAGTCACTGTGACTTTCGCAGAATTTTGTCTTTGTTGAATGCTCTCAATTTATTGAAATACAAAATTTGACTTTGCGGCGAAAATTAAACAGTTCATGGTATATACCATGGAGGTAGTTGTACGTTGAATTCCCATCATGCAACCCAATGTTGTCACACACACCAACACAAAAAAAAACGTTGCTCTGTAACCGCTTCGTTTTTGTTCTTAGGTAAAAAGAGAGTACGCACATTTGGTATGATGAAATATTTGAAGACACATATCAAAGACCCGATCTACCTAACGTCATGAAGATAAGACTTCGTCCAACACTTTCATAATAATACTGCCTTTATATATGTTTTTTATCGCACACAGACTTACCATATATTACTGATACAAATATGTATCAACATGAGGGTGAATATGACTGATCCGAACCGAAGTTAGTCAATACTGTCAGCTCATTGCGAAATGTTACCTAATAGTGGTATTCGTAAGATATTAGAGGGGGGATTCTTCGTATAATAATAATTCTCTCAACATTCATTTTATCGTCCAACATAACAAATAAATCTACATCATTTTTTTTCAAAATTGTTTTTTTTTAGAAAATGTTTTAGAAAAATAAAAATGTTGCATCCAAATTATAGAGAGTAAATGACATTCAAAATTTTAGTAAGTCAGCATTTTACATGAAATATTTGGTATTGGGTTTTAGCTTCTATGGAGAAAACTGGAATACAGCGGGCGTCATAAACAGTGGTTAGAAAGACTGCTAACTGAGTTGTGTGAAAAATTAAAATACCAGTTCACAGTATATGCATGCACTGTTGTTGTGTTTGACACTCAACACCCCCTGTAAAAAATGGTTTTGTCCAGGGTTTCTTAGTTTCATAGTCTCACAAATTCACTAGCAGTGGTTTCCAATTGTGGATTTTCTGTAATGACCTTTTTGTGGTTCCCGCTGTGACATTAATATTATGATATATTTCATATTTAGTACTTTCACTTGTGTGACCGAACGTATCATTATTTGTTTTCACTTCAAACTCTATTACCGGTATATCTGTATTTATCACATAACAAAATGGCAATTCACTATTTTTCTAGAGTAAAATTTTATATTATCGTCAGTGTTACATCATCAAATAATTTCAAAACTTTGAATTTAGACATTTTCGCTATTTTTTTTATTTGCTTAAAATATTCTTAGTAAAGAATTCAAATTTTACTGAAGTCATGAATTGGGTTAGGTGTGTTATCTCTTATGCATGTGTTTGTAAATACAACAACACTGTTCAACA